AAAGTTATTTTTATAGGAGGCAAGTGCTTGATTTTCAGAAGATGAGGATGATAATTTTCTGTGTTATTATCATTGTTATTGATAATTTTACTGTCATCATCATCATCATCATCATCATCATCATCATCATCACCATTACTATTATTAATGAAATATACAGTGATTTCGTCCGACATTGACACTTGAATGGTTAACGATCCTTTATAGTGTGGATCATTTTTTTCATATATGAAATTTTGTGGATATATTGCCTAATTTTTTAAAAATTGAAAATTAAACAAATTAAAATAAATGTTAGAATGCTATTGAATGTTAATCTTGTTGCTTGTTTATTTGTACTGACTTCGAGAGCAAGGATTTCATTTTCTTGTTGAATCAAATTATTATTAATGTTTGTTGACATTTTCATTTAAAAAAAAAAAAAGAAAAAAGAAAAATATAAAAATATAAAAATTTGTCGATTACAATGACAGTATTTATTCGCTCAATTCAGCAATTGGCAAAATTTAAAAAGTTTTTGTTGATTAACCAATCAAATTCAAACCCACTATGTTGTTTTATCATATGCTAAAATTTCCATTTTTGCATTTCATCTGAAAATTTTGGAATGTTTCATACTCGGGCATACAATAAACCAGTAACATGCAATAATGGTTGTTAAAATAATGTCACTCACGTGTGCTATTTATTATTGCATGCTCCTCCGCAAAATTAGGAAATAATTTATAAATTTGGCCATTTAATTTTTTTATCAATATTGAATATTCGAATAAAGCTTTACAATTGACTCCTAAACATTGAAATTCTCAATTTAAAGATACAAAAGAAAGTATGCAAACTGCTCTTGAAAGGTTGACTGAGAGTAAATAAAAATTTTTTATGGAAAATCGAAATTTTTATGAAATTTAAAATTTTGTAATTAAACTTATTCGTAATATCACACACTATTACTATTTCATTCTCATACTACTACTGTCTCTGCTTTTTAATACGTCGCTTCTGTTTGAGGCAATATACGTTAAAGGTTGAAAAAAACTTTGTAAATGTTTTGTTTGATGAATTATAGGAAATGATAATAAAATTTGGATATATTCACCCACTATATTATATCAAGTAAATAAAACATTGTACTCGAATATACATATATGTTAAATGAAAGACAAGTCTTATTAGATCAATATTTAAAATGAATAAGATGTCATCAAGAAAAAGCCATGCTTACATCTATCTGTAGTTTTGTAGTAGAAAATTATTATTCAAAAAGCCATTGTCTCTAATAAAGTTTGTGAGTATTCAAATCAATTGGATAACAATAAAATTCAATGAATTAAAATCCGATTATCTTTTGTATCAACAATCTCATTGTAAATATATCTGCAAAGTAATTTTACGTTAAAGAACCTCACATACATTTAGAAAATATTTCCTTTTCAATAAGATAATACTATCCAATTTTTTGATAAAGCAGCTTTGAAATATGAAGACCTTGCTTTTGAACGAGAATGTTAAAACTTTTACAGCCTATTCTACCATATACTCTAACCCTAATTTCCTTTCATTTCTGATTCATTCAATAACTTTGTTAAATCATTTACAAGTTTACTATGTATTTTAATGGAAGGACATTGTTATTGGAATTGAAAAACAAGTTGACATTTGTATAGCATAACGGAATTTCTCTGTGATTGGTCAATAATGATCGACAAATTTAATTGAGTTTATTGGCCAGAATTTATTTATTTAACTTAATATATATAAAATTCAATTCTAATCATTAACTTATATGCAATATTATTAGGTGTTATCTTTGATAATACTATTTTAAATTTCTAAAATATATCCAAAAAAAAGTAACTATTAAGTTCAATTCTTAAATTTTTTCATAAAAATTGAATTTGTAAATACATAATGATAATATTTTATTTTAACTTATCTGCAATATTATTAGGTTTCTTGTTCCTTTTATACTGTTAAGTTCATTGACTCTTTTATTTCATATTTTAAATTTTGTACACGTTATTACAACATTTTAAACCTCCTATTATTGTAAACTTTACTTATAATACTCCCATGGGAAAACCTTTGATCAGGTTTGATCAGGGTATGAGATATGATAAAGAAGCTTGAAAATTACGTGCCTATAAAAAAAATTTTTATACAAATCTGTGACTTGTCATATGACGGACCTATTTTTAATTAGGACGACTATTATAAAATAATATAAATAACCGTGTAACAATTTTTGGAAAATGATCGACATTTAGAAATTCCGTTATGCTCATTTGTATTAGAAACATATATATTAATATATAGTAATAGTTCTATGTACTCAAATTATCAGTATATTAGACACCTAATCCGGTCATTTTCCAAAAGGTAAATCCTGTTTATCCATGGAATAACAATGGATAAAGCTTCCGTTTTTCGGGTGTATGGGCATGGATATCTCTGATATCGATCTCTGGGATTTTGTTCGGATAATTCACTCTATGATCGACAAACTCGTGGGTTGGATAAATGGATAAAGGTTTTGCCTGTCCAAATTATCTGATATTAGAAATGAAATGTGATGCTTTTTCTGTTAAGGGAGTGACATAGAACTAAACTTTAAAATGACATTAGACATTAGGGTGTGCGACATTCTAAGAAAATAAAAACTAATTAATGTCAT